TTGCAATCAAATTTCTACAACCCTGCGAATCAAAAGATACTCTAAAACCCTTTGAAGTCAGTGAATAAATTCAGAGCCAAGTTAGGAACATATTTTATATCTGAAGTGCATCTTTCGTTGTCATTTTGATGCAATTTGACAACCACATCTCCTGTTCCGCCAACAGACAACCTAGCACTGTCAGCAACAATAATTTCCAGTCATTTATTTTTGTCAGAGAGCGCAGGTAACAATGCACTATTGCCAGTCATATATCAATCTAACATACATTTGTAAAAAAAAATGTTTTCCAATTATGTTATGAGAAAAGTAATTTTGATGGTTATATTGTGTCTGGGTACACTGATTTTTATAAGGCCCCTTAGAGCGACATCTCCAGCACCAAGGAGTCCTTTTACCTGTTTTTTGGTATAAGCTCTGTGTTCCCATTTGAGCATTTACCATTCTGAGATTTTTTATGTTGCAGTAGCTTGGTTTTTACAAAATCTGAAGCTATGTCGGTTCCAGAACCAGTGCCATTGGGTCATAATAAGAGAGACATAAGTTCATTGACCAAATTATCCATTGTATCATTATTACTCAGCTTAATGGAACATAGGCGCAGACATCGATGAAGTCCCTTGTCTTCAAAGGCTGCATCACTTGTGGGTGCGTTGACTTGTCCAAGGAAAGAATTATTTTAGATAATACTTTTTCTTCCTTTACGTGCTGCCTCCCGGCTTGTTGCAATTGCTGTTGGAGTTTCGTCAGTTGTCGCGAAAGAAGCCGTCTGCCCCATCACATAATCCTCAAGAACATCATGTTCCAACAGAGCAGTGATTTGAAATCGCCAGTCACTAAAATTCTCACGACCCTTTAATTTTTCAATCGCAGAAAACGCGGAACCTACATCGGCAGCCACTTTGAATCTTCCAAACAAAGAACGACAAAAAACTGGGCGACGCAATAGTTGAAAGCCCTTGCAGGGTAATAAGCACAGTCGGAAGGCACTACTTGTATCAACGCCATCCAATAAAATAAATACGTACAAAATAACCGGCCGTATATTATATAGAACTTGCAACACACACTTTAACAGAACCCGATATCTACAGTGCAGAGAGACAAAGATAAACAAATGTAAACGCAATATGTATTGCATATTAATCATACAAATAAATGTACCTACTAACACGCAAAAGAATGTATTCCAACAAGAAATTGACTGAGTTTTTAAATATAAAAATTTCTTGGAGGTCGCTCAGTTAACATTTATACTAGTTACATTATAAGTAAGTATATAGAACATACATAAATATAGAAAATAGCACTTTGCCCTTTTAATGTACATACAAAATATACAGCGGTAAAACTAAGAAAATCTCAGAGGAACCGTAGATGAAATATGTCGAGGACGAAAAAAATTAAAGGCTTCCTTCCGTAAATATATTCATGACGACTGGTGATTATGGAGAACATGATGTGCGAGTCATAACGGGTGGCAAAAAAAAAATGACGTAAGATCTTTTTTAAGTTGACGATTCATCTGAAAGAATTTCTTGAATTTTTTCTTGATAGTTAGTTGTGTTCATGACCAGCGTATCTGCTTTTAGACTTATGATGCTGAGGTTATATTTTAAATATTTTAGCGAAATACAAACAGCAAAGTCATTCACCAGAACCTAAGTGCCTTTATCCCATATGTTTAACTTAAAGCCTGCTTTAAACAAAATTTGCAGGTGTCTGTATTCGTTAGAGCCAACATTATTTTACTGTCTTTTATTGTGATTATGTGAGTCAAAGCCTACTTTGAACCATTTTGCCTGTTTACATGAAACTATTCAATTATGTACAACAAAAGTTTCAAATGCGAATTTTTGGGTGAACAGGTGTAACAAGTGATATCTTTATTAAAAATCTGCATAGACTAAGTATCAAATGTACGGACAAGTACTCTAGGTAGAACCCTCTCCAATTTGTCCCAAAATTATTCATGAAAATGGATTTCTCATGTCAAAAAAGCGCGATTTTCCAAATTTTTTATCTGTATCTCGGTTAATATCAATCTTTAGACTAAGGTAAGTTTCATTAAATCGTAATATTTTTACAAGAATCTCGTTTGTCTTGTACCATACTTATAGGACACCTTGTATATATTATAGGCGGTACGACTTGAGATGGCATAGTAGGTCATAAAATCAAGAAAGAAGTGCACGAGTATTTTACCTGCTTTCAGTCATATACTAAGAATGGCCGATTTTTTAAATTTTGTTTTAATTAACAGAATTTTCTGACAAAATTTTTTTTACACATTATTATAATTTTTTCATGTAAACATCTACTTGAATATTCGCATGTCATTAAGGCACACCCTGATCCATGATTACATTACAGTATGGGCGTACTAGATAAATTAATAAATGCCAAGTACAACTGATTCTTACTCCCAAGTAATATAACGTGATCGTCAGTGATGTTTGCCTTGCATTGATCAGATAAACATTTAGGGCGGAACAGCATTTGGTGAAGTATAAGTAGAAGCAAGATGAACAATTTATTTTATTCTGTCTGGCATTTTATTACTATACATTGTTTATCTGCTAATCCCTAACAATTTAAAAATTGAACTACTCTTAAAACCAAAAATAAAATGATCATAAAAACTTGGGGACATCGAAAATGCAAACGGCGGTTACTAGCTAATAACACAACAAATACACTACCGAGTTGTCGGTATGTCCATCAGTGCGATTTTTTCATTACTGCTTCTCAGCTGCTGAAACGCGTTCCCCGTAGTGGTTTTTTGACTCGATTGAACAGAAAGAAATCACAGGGAGGCAAATCAGGTGAATCCGGTGGCTAGTGCATTTTTTTTTTAATTATGCCATGGGGCGTTATCATGGTGTAAATTCCACAAGTTTTCTGCAAACAATTTTGGTCTCTTTTGGAGAACTGTTTTACTCAAAACGTCTCACAACGCCTAAATTATACTCTTTATTTACTCAAAATTGCCTTCTGACAAAACTTTCTGATGCATTATCTTGTTGTAATACATGATAACCATTAGCATTGCCTTCGTTTTTGATTGAAAAGGACGTGTTTTGTTTTGGTCTCGTCTCAGTTGGTGAACTCTGTTCACTAGCCTCATATCTGGAATGCGTGTCGTACTCATAAACTCACGTCTCGTCTCCAGTAACGATCCTTTTGATGAATGTGGGATCGGATTTCTTCTCGCAAATCATTTCTTTTGCGACGTCAACACGGTCTCTTTTTTGCATGAAATGGAGGCATTTTGGAACCAACTTTGCTGCTACATGACGAAAACCCAAATAATTAACCAAAATGTCTTGTACGGATCCATAAGCAATGTTTAGGTCCTCCGCCATCTCTTTGATGGTTAATTTGACCAACATTTCTGTTACTTTATCAATATTTTCGTCGGCTTTCGATGTCGATGGTCTTCTATTGTGTTTATCATCTTCGATTGACTCAGGGTCATTTTTCAACCACTTGTACCAGTGGTAAACGACCACATTCTTTAAATTTCTTTAAATCCGTTTTTAATGCAAAATAATAATTTCATTATTGCAAATCTAAATCTATTTTTAAAATTGTAAAAAATCGCAACACACACAAATTACGCATCGCAAAGTTGGGAAACAGTAGCAAGTTTTTTATTTTGAAATTGAACACCAATATATTTTCCGTTATAAAGATAGATCTTTTTCTCCTGATTTCAAAAATATATGGGTTATTTTTTAAATGGATAAGCCGTTCTTGATTTATTTAAGTGACCCAAATAAACTCCCATGGATCTGCCGAGAAGTTAAGGAAAAATGCAAATAAAAGAAATTAGCGTACTTAAAATACAGGACACTAAGGACAGCAGAATCATCGCAACTGGTTAGACAAATAAAGGAAAAGTACTGGGAAGAGTTTTCGAAAATGATGGAAAGTGTGCAACAAACAAATGTGCAGACCAATCAGTAACCAACGAAGAAAAAAAGTGAATAAACTTATTGAAAAAAATCAAATTACTAAAGAAACCTTAGAGATCTATATGTAGCAGATAATGATTTCATTGAAGCGAACACATCAGAAATAACATGAATGGCGAGTAAGTACTATGACTTATGTTTATAAAAATGGGTTTTATAGACTTCGAAAAAGCATTTGATTGAGTCCAGATATTAATATTGGACTTAATACCGGTGGAATGAGGTATTTCTCTGAGCACGCTTCTCTTTAATATTTTTATGGAGTACTTAAAGGCGAGCATACAGACGACACTGTACTAGTAACAGAAAACAAAGACGATCTACCAAGATTATTACAATCATTTAACCGAAAGGCTAATTCACTTAAAATTGCTGATCAGGTGTAAGATTGTAGTCGACGGAAAAATTATTACGCAGGAGACGAAATTTGAATAATGGGGAATAGAAATCTCCCGTTATGGTGATGTGGGAGCAGAAGTACGTGAACAGACTAACAAAGCAACTAGGATAGCAGCATGCTTAAATAACAATAGTTGGAAAAGCAAATATATCAGATTGGAAACGAATGCTAAATATACAAAATAACGATTAGACCAATCATAACCATACACAGCAGAAACATGACCAAAAACTAAGCAGATGATGGAGGCGGAGGAAATGAAAGTATTAAGGAAAATTGTTGGAAAAACGTTAGGGAACAGAGAGCGAAGCGGGAATATCAGAGACATGTTTGAAGCGGATAACATAAAGGACTGGACGAAAAGTGGAATGAAATGACCACATTAATCGCATAGAATAGTTAAAATAGTCCGTCATAAATCACTCTTAGACCGTAGAAACAGAGCGCACCCTCGAAAAAAATAGAGCGACAATTGGAGGACCGAAGGGGAATAGGGGGCAAACAAAAAACAGGCAATTGCCTTGCACTTTACAACGGATTATTTTTGTCAATGAAGGTGCCGGCTTTAAGTTGTCCGCCCTACTTAATGATCATGATTGTAAATTTACCTTTCTACAACTTACCTTTATTATTTCTTGTGCTTCTCCTCAGCACAACTCCGCTTCGCGTCAACCGCGGAGGGTCTGAGTGTTCCTCCGCGTTAATCGCCTGATGCTGCTGCTGCTGCGGCGGCGCCGTCGGCCGACTGCTGCCCGCTGCCCCCAGCGCTACAGGTTCCTTTTTGCCCGACCGCGATCTGCAAAAAACCCAAACAATGGTCGCACAGCGTTTCGAATCAGCATGGTTCACTTTCCAAGTAGGAACAATATACTAGTTAGTTTTATGCATTTAAACATTCGTGGCATCAAATGAAACTTTGACAAATTGTTAGTATTTTTGGAAGTGTACCACTTGTCTTTTGACCCAATAGTTTTCAGCGAATGCCATTTTTTGGAAGGCGTAACTTATTTTAACACACCTTATTATGATGTTTATTACAAACTTAATTCGAATGCCAATGATACCGTCATAGTTTTCTTTGCAGAAACATGGTCAGAAGTCAGAGAAAAGGTAATCACGGGTTTTATGAGCAGTAAAAGATTGTTAATTACTGTTGTAGGAATATAAATTTAAATTTAACAACGGAGACAGACGCATTTAAATCCAATTGGTCATTAAGTAGTAGATTCGAATATCTCATTTTGTTAATTTCCATAACTTCCAACAAATTTATTTTTTTTTTACTTCTTGATTCATCACGTAAAATATCAAAATTATCGTCAAAGTTGTGCATTCCTGAATTTAAATGGTTATCATAGTTACAACTGAACTTTTATTTTTATGTTCGTTAATGTGTTTCTCAAATGTCCTACCTGTTTATCAAATATAAATTTTGGGACATGATCCGTATTTCAACTTGTAGATTCTGAAGTTTTTGAGTTTTTCGTGATTCAGTTGAATTGTTTTTTAAAAATTTTCCTATGGTGTTATGTTTTATAAATCTGAGTTCTATGTTTAATATGCAATATAGTTCAGAGTTATTTGAATTTGCTTTTTAGTTATAATATTATCTATCAAAGAGGGATCGTAACCATTGTTAAAAACTATTTGTTTTATAATATTTAATTCTTTTTCAACTTTTTTTGTGGAAATTGACATATTAAGTAGTCTGTGGATACAAGCATAAAAGGCACCCATTTCATGTGTGACAGCTATTATCTATTACTGTGTCCGTGTGTGTTGATAAATGGAAAAATCTAACTTGTTTTGTAATTTAGTTATAATTAGTCCAGAAAGTTTGAAGAGTTATCTAGTTCTCTATGGTAAATTTTATATAGTTATGTATTTAGTTAATATATTCAAAAAGGACAATAGTTGTCTCTCCATTCCAGTGAAACAAGTATTAACATCTACATATCTATGCCACAAAAGAAATGTTTTACTCAGAGGATATTTATGTAAATTTTCTACATTACCCATGAAAATTTCTGCAGATAGTGTCCTAAGTGGGTTTCCCATAAGTAATCCTTCTGCAGCAATATAAAATTGACTATTAAATTGAAAATAATTTCAAATGTAAAAATATATAATTTCGTGAAAATCTCAAATTATTTTTAAGAATCTATTGCTACCTGTTTATGTCAGAATATTGTCATATTTTATATTCCATAACTATAAGTAACTGAAAATCTGAACTTTTTTGTTCTATTTTAATGTTAAATGGATTTTCATTAAGTAAAACAAATCTCAGTTCAATAATGTATGTGTCTAATATTTAATTACTTTCTTTAATTAGAGACATGTTTTTTATCGGCCAATAAGAGAAATGTCAATAACAAATATAACCCGGTATCTATATAACCTATAAAATACAAATTTATATCTTAAATGACTACCCTCCAGTGCTAATTTTTAACACGAAAACGAGCGTACCCTTTCCGTTGCTGCTCTGGAAAAGAATTGTGATGTTCCGTAGACGAGCCGCTTGTTTGTCGATTTTGTCCAATTAAAGACGGGATCTTGGAATAACTTCGCAGAGGATACTTGTGTGGCTAAAAAAGAAAAACGGCAAATCAAATTATTGGCAAAAAATACAAACAGGATAATCCTGCACTCAGTCAGAACAAAATACAGAATAAATTTGAAATTTATGATGTTATACAGGGTATCCAAATACTGTGTCAAAGTAATACATTTCGTTTATTATTAATTATAGAAAAAAATGTTAAATACAAAGTTATAGATAAAACTAAAAGAAACAATTTAAAATCATTTCCAAATATATAGAGTCATTCATAAATATGTGAGAAACCAAAGTTATATGTCTTAGTGGAACACCTTATATATTCGTGCATTAGTAGATACTCCTTTTTATACTGAATCACCCTATACCGAGTGTTTTCGGATTAATGGCCATTTTTCGTCAAAAATGACCCGTGCTTAACATTCCACATTTTTGAAAGCTATTGTCCACAGCTGTAATAATTTTATTATATCAACAATTTTATAAAGTGGTATCATCATTCATCCTAGACTTGTCTTGAAGTTAGTTCAAATCGTTTATACAGGGTCAAAATTAAAAATATTAATTTTCGTGAAACAATCAAATGGGAGACTCTGTATATTAATAACTACCTAAACTTACGTATTTTTTGAGGTGTGCACATTTTTATGAACAAAACTCGGATAATTTGTCAAATTGTAATATAATCCAAGAGGATAACTTTTTAATTTTGTGAAAAAAATGTTTCCTTTTTTTTTATTAATTTAGAAATTCTGAATTTCTTAAAGTCCAAAATATTAATGACCTATAAATAACGTTTTACGATCGCGTCTTTCAGTGCAAATATTAGTTGGCCATGTAAATCTAAGTTTGCCATGCAAATGTAGGTTGGCCATACAAATATAAGTTGACCATGCAAATATTAGTTGGCCATGTAAATCTAAGTTTGCCATGCAAATGTAGGTTGGCCATACAAATGTAAGTTGACCATGCAAATAAATAATTATTTGAAATCTTTTGAGAATTTGATGAATCGTTTTACTCGAACTGGAAGTGTTGCTTATAAAAAGAACGACAAATGTCTCAAGATTTAATAATTTCTAAGAGTTCTGCGAATAATATTTTGCGAAAAAATAAGATGCATCCTTATCATGTAAGACTTCATCAAGAACTCAATGAATATGATTTTCAAATTAGATTTACATTTTGTGAATAGGCATAAGAACCGTTGTATATTTGAAAACAATTTAAAATTATTTCTTTTAGTCTCATCTACAAGTTTTGAATTTAACATTTTTCTCTAAAACTGTATAATAAAGTATGGCTACATTTTGACATATTATTTATTTTATTATAACTTTCTTATTTTAAATTGAAACATCCTGTATATTTTTATAATTTTTCCATTCTACAAGTAAATCCAAGTAGTAAATGTTTTCCGATAGCTTTAATAGTTTTTGATATGACATAATTCAAAAATGTCACTAACCGACCAAAAAATTGACAGATAGAGAGTATTTTTTGTAGAAAACAATTTGATAAAGGCGAAAACAAAACATACATTCACTTTTACTGGAAGTACACTGAAAATTGAGCTTCGTTTTGGTTCTTTCAAAAAGATACAAAATATTTCCGAGGTGTTTCGTTTAAAATAAAGTTAATCTCACTTCCGCCAAAAACGAAAGTGCTACTCAATTGTTTTTAAGGTCAAAAGGTGGCCATACCTTATTTATAAAACACCTCTAAATTTCAAGTTTAGTTAATTTTTTTGACAGAGTTATCGTTTGACTAGCAATAACATTGACACCATAAATAACACAATTTTTAGTTAGTGTCACAAATCGTATTTTACAGTAATTTGAAAGGCCCTAAGAACTGCAACATACGGAGAGAAAGGAGCTTCGTTTGACATCGGATATAATCCTGTTTTTCCCAAACTTTTTGCGCGAGTATCGACATCGTTGGATTTATAGGCGGGCCATGCCGAGTTTTGAACTTTTCGTTTTTTTTTAATTATTATTATTATTTCAAGTCTGTATCATTAAAATGGAAAAGGTTTGTTCTTTTTATTTGATGATAAATTTTCAACTACCTCAATTAATACAATTACATACAAGAGTATGCACAAACAAGACTTATTTTCCATTATACAGACACTTAATTAAACATTTAAATACTTATCGTGACTTAGCATGAAGGAATCACTTTGCATTTTATCAATTTTGAAGAGTTGTCAGCTTGGAAGGCCTAGAACACTAGAGAAGTAAACTACAGTTGGTTTACATACGGTAAAAAAAGTATACGGATGTAACAGAAGTGATTGCATATGCAGAAATAATTTTTTTAGGATTTGTCACTCAAATGCAGTGTGAAAAAGGATGTAGTATTCATATTCCTTCGAGAAGTGTAATAAACAATCCATCGGAGGGTACGTATTTTTATCTTGTTATTTTTTAATATAAAGTGTGAAAATCGTTTAGGGCACACCAAACCAAGGACCAAGACATTATAAAAAACCCAAGAAGAGATAATTATTCCAATATTAACTGCAGGATTTTCGAATCCAAGGATGATCTAAGGTGGTAACGAAAGGAGATTTAACAAATCCAATCAGGAAATTTAAAATTGATACCAGAGATGTAATCATTGATGAGTGACACCGGAGAATTTTGCGCAACAAATGAATGTTTTGTGATGATTATTTCACGGTATTTGGAAAATTTTAGGGGCAACATTTTATGAAGAAAATTTGACAGCAATGAAATTTTTAGATTTATTAAGAAATAATATTGAGCCCCTTACTTCCTATACAAGAATACTATTCCTGAAATAGAACAATCCATCATTTATTATCATGTATATCATTTTTTATATATCAGTGAATTTTTAAATGGAAATTTTAGACAATGGATTGAGCAAAACGACACCATCTGGCCAACAAGGGGCCCTTTAAAAGAAATAGCATACAACAATATGCCCATAGAAGTTTTTGCATTACAACAACAAATTCGGGATGCAATGAATTAAATGCGGTCAGATATTAAATGCCATAAATCATTTGGGTGTAATATATACAAATTGTATTATTCAAAATGATGCACATGTGGAAAAGTATATAACAAATTATTAATTATATTTTAAAAAGGTTTGTCAAATGTTATTGTTTTACAAATAAAATCATGCATAATTTTTAAAATTATTTTTAATTAAAAAAAAATACCGCGTATTTGATAAAATATTTCAATTTTGAATATTGTCTGAAAAACAGTATTATTTTCTAAAATATGTTACGCAGAGAAACGTTTTAAAGGTTAATATGCGACGTAACAAAAACCTCTTTAACATAACCTGAATAACGAAGATATTCGCTAATAATGGTGCGTTAGAGCTCGACATATAATATATATAATTTAAAAATATGTATAACTTTTTGGCTACCCTGAACAAATTTTGAATTCAAACTTTTTTTAAAACACTCATAATAGATTTAGAGATAAGAGAGAGGCCCCTCGTAAACTAGCCACCCTGTACATTATAGCGCAGGATACGGTCTTAAATTATATCTTATGTTAAGGAGCGGTTTACCAGGAATTACGACTATAAAGTAAAGTGTTGATTACATATGATTTTGTTTCTAATTTGTGGGACTGTCATTTCTACATGCATCTTTTATGCGTAATATTCGTGGTCTGTAATGAATGCACCAAAAAGGAAGCCCAGATTCAACTTGTGAAAATAGTAATATTGTTGGAGAGAAACAGCGCGTTAAAGTTCAGGTTTTGAAATTGTAGAAGGCGCTAGTTACACTCTAGAATCTCGCTATTTTATGCCATAACTTTGTTGTTAGTTCTGCGATATGAAAGATGTTTATTAAACCAAACAAGAGTGTTTACAACAATTCTTATACTAGACCTATCATCTAAATATTTAATTACCAATGTGTTTCAAAAACAAATTTGAAAACTTAAGGGGGTTGCGAAGCTTGCTCAACGGCGGAGCGACGCGATAAGACAAAAGAGAGCCTTCAGAGACGTTGACAGAGACAGTCGGCAAGAAAGAAGCGAGACGGAGCAAGGGCGAGAAAGTCAGTAAGAACAAAGCGAGCCGTCACATAATTTTAATATTAAGTTTACATTTCTAAATGTTTCAAAAAAATAATTACAATCCATTCAAATTGTCGTCAATCTCGTCCTGGTCCTTCGCCAGCTACCACAAGGGGGGTGAGTCTTTGATTAAAATAAAGTGTGGTTTGTTATATAATCGTTGGGTCAAGAGCTCAGTTAGTTTGAATTCAAAATACGCCTAATTTATTCAAAAATTGATTAACTAATTATTTAATTGTTCAATAATTAAAGTTTTAATTCACTAATGGTACTAATGCACACACACTAATGCAGGAATGACAGATATGCATTATGAAGAGTTGTACAATCGGAAATTCCTTGGAAGCTTGTCGTCTTAGTTTCAGGTAACTGACTAACAAACTACAACTATTTGAGAGCATTTAATGCTGTAAATTTTATGAAAAATTGCAGGATACAAAAAAGTTTCTAATAAACCCCTACTTAAGAGAATAAAACCATCAAAACCATATTTGATAACATCACATAACTAAGAAAAAACTTAAATTAAAAAAAAATAAATACAGATTAAAACACAAAGACATAAAAGTTAGGTTTTTTAAAGAACTTCTTTTTTTAGAATATTATAATTTGTTATAATTTAATTTCTCTATACCCAAGTTTTTAACACATTTTGAGTGTAATGACAAAAGTGACGTTTACAGGTCTAAATATATTTATCGATTTCTCTAACTGAAAGCCGTTGTTATGTATTTGGAAAAATACATAGTTGCACAGAAGACTAATTTCTAGTTTTTTGGAAAACTATTTTAAGGAAATATTTCTGCATAATTTATAATTTTTCAAGATACTTGTCCAGTACTCCTCCCCATTCCACAATACCTTAATGGTAAACGTGACTGTACCAATGTAACAAACATTTGGTGTTTATTCAAAGTGTTTCTAAAATATTTGAAGTTGTAGTCTTAGCCTTAGCATAATTAGTGTAAAATGAAAAGAAAATCGGATAGTAAAATTATTTGAAAGGAAGAAAATTAAGAGCAAAAAATACAACAGACAAGCAAACAAACAAACCTTTCGTTAATAATAATAATAATAATGTGTTAATAATTTAATGACCAAACATGATGTGCAGGATTCATTAATAAAAAATGACCATCGACAGTATAGGCTAGGTAACATTTACGTAGTACTCAATTGTTTTTGTCTGATTAAATTATTAATTTATTAATAGTTTAAATCTTACAGTTACTTTTTGACCACCCTGTATTTTTTTTAAGTTCAATAGAGACAGCTAAAGTAGAACCTTTGTTACAAGGAAATCATACCCAAAAACATAACAAAGGCTTACAATCAGATAAATCAATAAGATATATTTAGACCTGGAAATGTCACTGTTGACATAAAATTTAAAATATGTCAAAAACAGAAAGACTCAGGTATAATAAAAATGATAATAATAATAATGGCCAAGCGTGCACTAGATAAAAAGAAAAAATTGTGCAATGAAATCGATGGGCACACAATCAAAGTGGCTCAAGTATTCACTGGATCGCTACGTTGTCCTAATAAGGTTTTTATTACTCTATACAATTCTGAAATAAGACTATAGTTAAATAGATACAACGAAATTAACACTAACCTTCAGGTCTGTAGATCTAACCCCTGACGTGCTAGCTCCTAATAAGCTAGGCGATTCTAATTTGATGTTTAAACTGTAGGCGCTTTTCGTCTGCTTATCCTTTTTGCTTTTGTGCTTGGTCGACGTACGTTCCCGATCCTTGTCAGAGCAAATTTTGCCTCTTTTCTGATCTCTGTCTGTCTGAGTTTGCACCTTAACGTCAATTTTAGTGTTTGATGGTTCTGAAGAAGATAACTTTTTTGGATTTTCGGACGAACTTTTCTTTGTTATTTTTTTAGGTTCTTCTAAGGATAATTCTTCAGGATTGGATATGGACGATCGACTATTATCTTCTTGATCTTTGGGTATTGATCTTATATTTTGGTGAGATTTTGATACAGAATCTCCGACAATATTAGTGTTTGATATGTGTGTTACGCTATTTACCTGAAATAAGCAAAACAATTGATACTGCGACAATTATGTAGTTATATATGCCATCTATGAGCCGTTCACAAAAAAAAAACTCCTGAAAAAAGAATAAATGCAACGATATCAATTTTTTTTTATATATATAACATCTAGGCAATTTAGTTTTTTGAAATATCATTTCTTCTTTAATTTTTTTTTGTCTTTTTTTTACAGGGATTCCAAAATGTCAAGAGAGATAACGCCCAAGGCAATTGAACATTAGTGGTGAACTTTTTTCAGGCAATGACGACGCAGCATTTATAGAAAAGCTACACTCAAAAATCAGAGATATGTGTCTTCACCACGATCGAATTGGTAACGCCGACGAAACTAAACAAAACACAAAGAGTATAAGCAACATTTCGAAAATTCAACATTGCAATACGGAAGTCTGTGGCAACACTTCGTCTTGACATTGAAAAAATTTTGTGCATTTCATCGGGATTTAAACTCAATATTATTAAGTTTAAAGAATTTTCTTTGAGTAACGCTTGTTTAATGGTAACTAAATATATCTGGCATAATCCGCCTCTAGTTCATAAGGTTCAGCTGATGTAATAGAAAGCGTCATAGTACCCGTAAGAAAACTACCTGAAGAAGATGCTGAGACAAAAAGAATATAAATTGCTTCGAGTAACTCATACTCGAAAAATGTCTCATACAAAGTGTACTATGGATTTTTTAAAATAGACTTTTACTAAATTTAGGTCTTTTAATTGCAGAATTAAGGATATTGCTCTAACAAAAATAAAAATAGCTTTCCTAAGGCAGTTCTAGATTTATTAGATGAATTAATAAATACTGATGCAGTTGGTGTTATTTATTGTTGCCTATAATATTTGATTTATTTATTAATATTGTTATAAATATCCGAAACAAAAATCAAATATCCTAATTTAAATTAAATTAAATTGTAGAAAGAAACAAATCTGAAAACCAAATCAGTTCTAGACAACCTTATTACCAAATATTTAGGCGTAGTTTTTGAAAATAATATTATTCTGAAGAATTGTTTACTGAGGCGAAAGTACTAAGTATCAACAAAGCTACATTAACAGTCTTCAGACTATTAAGTCTTAACAGAATTCGTAAAGAAACAATCAGCCATTCAGTAAAAACCAGATTTGTATCAAAGCAGGTCATGCCAGTACCGATAGTAAATTCAATAACAATGTGATTTAATTTAATTTAATAATTTTAATTTAAGTGTTCAATTCAAATATTAATATGAACTTGCCATAACTAGCATTTGATATATTTGATGCTGAAATAATTGTTATTAATATTATATTATCATTACTAAAAATTACATTCTAACAGTAAGACAAAGTAGATGATCAAGAATGAATGTATCCATCCAAGATTTTCTTAGCCATTCAAACTCTATACATCCTAACGTATGTTTTGCCATTGAATTAGAAATTAATAATAATTTCCCATTCTTATTATGCAATACTGACCCAAAAATCATCGGTTATCAACTCTTTTGTTTACAGAGCCCTAAAACAATTTCAACGCAAGTCACTGAACTTAGAATTAAAACACCTTACATCTGCTCTTCTCTCTAACAATTTCCACATTAGGAATATTAAGGGTTGCATCACAAAACAGTTCACCACAACCGTCCAAAGACAATGAGTCAAAAAGCAAGCGGGAGGAATCCAGAAGATGTATAAATACTATTATTACATTAAATAAAGTACGCTGGGACAGTTTCCTTGAAAAATTATGAAAAACGTAGCTGCAAAAAAAGATATTTTAGTAACAAAAATACTGTTTTTTTTTTAAAGCAAGTTACATTTGTTCAGGTTTTTAATTTCTTATAATTAATTATTCTAATTCTAATTCTAATTATTCTATGAAATAATAAACATTTTATGAATTATTCCGGGTTTTACTTTTACATAAAATCAATATTCAGTAATCCAGACGAATCGCTTTTCCCGACAACCCTCTTAGTTGTCAGGATAATAAAAGTTATTTTGTAATTTATAAATAAATGATTGAAATGATGAAGTGAGATATTAATGAGAACTGAATTTAACAACACTAATGACAAGAGTTTGTTATTTTCCCCTGAACGGCTCGCATTTTAAAAGAATATGTTGGGAGGGGAACGAAGTCGCAGTTAACCACTTCGCACTGAAGACTCAGAGATCTCCTCTTCTATTTTTGGAAAAAGAAGCATTCATTTAGATTCTATTGAAATGAGAACTAAATGCGCCATTTCCACTAATCAACATCAATAACATATCACAGGGCTTTGTAAAAGACACCGCATTTTTTTTTAAATTATTTCTTAAACTCAAATTTAGACTACTTTGATTTAGGTAATGATATCAATAATGACTTAATTGGACTCGCGATTTTGTTTGACACATTGTTAATAGTTTTGGTTTGTTTAAGCAATAATAATAGTTAAAAAACATTAAAAGTCGATATGTACTAAAGGAGTGGGTACTAAAGCAGCGGGGTTGTGAAACCTTTAAATAATAAAAAAGTAAATTGTGGAAGACTACTAATTCACACAGATTTCAAAAATGTTTTTACTGATTCGTTTTAAAAAATAATTTTTTATGTTATGTGGAAAATATTTCTATATAGTAATTATTATTATTAACAAGCTACTTCAAGCAGACTTCTCTAAATTTAATAAGCAAAAATAATTTTGCAGGAAAACTATGTAAGAAGAAAAGGAAATATAAAGACAAAAACTTGTATAAAAACGTTTTCTTTGTTTTGTTTTTACTTTTTATTGAATATATGTTAGAGTTGGTCTTAATTTTATTTTTAAATTAATCTGAAATGTTTCTCTGTGTTTATTATATCATGAAAAAAGTACCTCAGTGAAGCAGCATTCTGTTGGACATATTCAATTACTCAACTCTACACATGTCAAATTTTCTTAGGCCATAGAATCCAAGACAACACTTGAATTGTCTGTATTCCGTATCTGTAGAAATCCGATTATTTTAAGCAAAAAATAAGGTTCAAACTAATGATTCAACTGTTCAAGGTTCTTATGAAAAGTTTGATATAAATTCAATGTCTCCTGCATTCCACTCAAAACTGCTCTCCAAATTTTAGTTTTTTGTGTTTGAAATTCCATATGCGATATAATTAAGTCAAAGAACTGAATGTTAAAGCCATAATATTTTAGTTCGGCATGTAAAAGATTATGATGGTATCAAAGGCTTTAGAGTAATGCAGAAGGAACAAAATGCTTTGCAATCCTTGATCACCTACTGTTGAATATGTTTTTATAAACCCATTTTGGAAATTTGAAATAACATCATTGGAATTGAAATAGGGTCACATTTGTTTGTATACCAGGTGAGATAAATTTCAATTGGAATTTAACAAACAGAAGATATCCTGAAATAAATTTCCATCAGTGAATCATTAAACATCGGTCAGAATCAATACTCAAATTGCTGTTTGTCAAATTTGATTGGACTGTAAATTACTTAAACATACTTATTTAATCATATATTAGCATTTTTTAAAGTACAATTTGTTTATTATTTAAATATGGCTTGATTAATGGACAGTGCATAAAACTAATAAGATGTAAAAAATATGTTACTGATTTCACGCCTGATTTATCCCTCGCATCAAACCATTCATTTCCATCCATGTTTGTCAATTTTTGTTTTATTTAATTTTATTGATTCACAAAGTGTTATCCTTATACACACAAAATCGCAGGCCTGGAGAAGAAATATTTTTTTGTGAATAGTGTAGTAACACACAACAATTTAACCTTTTTTTTACCTAAAGACATTCAATTATTATTATAACATGGCAATGCCTTTAAGAATTGTATTCAATACATCCTAGATGGGCTGAATATTGAGATGTTGAGAATATGTGTGATCCTGATAATATTATAATGACAAAAATAGTTTAGAATTTAATTTTCAGTTATATGGTTTTACATAACATTATTTGTTAAAAGTTAAGAAATACAAACATTAGGTGGTTGTACTGTCGAAACATCTGAATATTATCAGAACTGCAAATTTCTAATTTTACCCCCAAATTGAAAATGCAGTACTGTTTCTGTTCTGTGGGTAAGAGATCCATTTGAAACACCCGATCTAAAACTTTCTGTGTGGAAATATGCACAGATAAGAAAAGTAATAGATTCTAGCCTGCATTATTATATAGCCTTTTATATAACGAGGGTCACTGAATATAATATTTCATCATAAATTTTCTGGAATCGTACTCAAGCAAATTAATAAAGCATTCCATTATACCAAAAGAAAACATCATTCTTTTGCTAGAGAAAATATGTCTCAATGTCTCTTACCTTATTACTCTTATTTGAGTCACTGGGGATGCAACTGGAATTGGAGGTGATATTTTCGTCAGACAAGGTTCGGAGGCGCTTAGCCTCAGAACAAAGCTGCGGTTGCAGCACACGCTTGTGACGGCTAGTGCTGGCAACAGCGAGTCTGTTAGCTGGATCTGCCATAGACGCAGCGTTCTAGGCTCCTTAACTCACTACTGACGCACATTCCCTTTTAATTCAGCTCGCTCTGATTTGACCGGGCTGTGCTAAAAGTCATCACAATTTTTTTTTAAATGTGATTAGCTTATAAACAAAGCAAAATGATATGAAGGTTACTTATTATTACCCCTTCCTTCTATATATCATAATGGTAATTATCATTATAATAACAAATGAATTATCCAAAAAACAATAAGAACCAAATTATGGGCATCCAAATGTTTGGCAAGACTTTGGATAAAAAAAAAATGACCAACCAATTGATGCTGACTTTTATGATTGATTATTAATTTAAAAGAAATGTTATGGAAAAAAAATGCAAAATTTAATTGTCCCATTGTATTATATTACCATTTTTACCAATTTTATAAATGCGACCAAATATTTTGCTAATTTAACGAAATTTCAATTACAAAACGTCAAAATATTTGCAAGGCCAGACTGTAGCCATGATAGCACTGGATATTCCAAACATCGATATAAATGTTGCTATAAATTTTAATGCCCTCAAATAATTGCAAAGATCGCTTTTGGCAAAGATATTTCTAAGCGAATAAAATATATATATATCCATACTTACGATTTCTATATTAAATTTTTTCCTCTTTAATATTCACAAACATATGATGGCAATCCAACCATTACGAATAAAATATTACCATAGATCACAGTATGACCCACATGAAAATGAAAACAGATTTTTCTTCTTTTTTCTTTACTTATCATAACTATGTAAACCATTAAACCCGAACACGAAACTTCCTTATAACAAAATCAGAGTCAAGCGTAATGGATACCATAATATCTTATACTGAGGATTTGGCTTAACCACAGTTTAAATATGGGAAACAGTTTGCTAATGAACAACGAAGATAATATGAAAATTGTAATAATCGACATGGGATAATTCTAAAGAAAATGGGACCCTTATCTGTGAAAACAGAATCATCAGATCAGGTAGCCAGTTTGCTCTGTATATAATCTGTCTAGATTCCGATTAACGGAGATGTCTGTGACGTACTAATATCAATACGAAGCCGCTATTCAAGAGATCGTAAAACTAGTTTTCGTACAAAAAGCTGAAATTAAGTCAAATTCGACTATTAATTAGTGGTCTGTGACTTAAGTAAATTCAAAAATAACGTAACCTATGGTTTGGTTTGTTTTCGTAATGTGTAATTTTTTGTACTTTTTTTTGGTCTAGTTTTCATTTTTTTGTGTTCTAAATTCAAAAAAACGAAAGATTGCTTTTATTGGACTCATCCCGTAAGTCGGATTTGGATTTGGATGATACCCTTCTTTTGGAGGTATTTGATTGCCATGACATTGAGTATTGAACACAGTTGCATGGAAATTTCAACTTTCAAAACTATAATAATACTGAATGCAAACTTAATTTCTAATTTAAACAAAAACGCTGGCTGACATTATTCTCTTTTCTTCGTTGCCTGTGAAGGTGCAACTCTTTTGACAATTTGCCCTTGGAGAACGCACAAAAGTTGCCTTCTTAAAAGGAAGAAAAATTGTCATAATTTTTATTCTTGCCCACAAAAACGTATACATAAACGTATATATATACATATATACAAAACATAGACATGTTTATACATAATTTTGACTGTATATTATATAGATCAGGAAAATAAATACAAATTTAATCGAATATCTAATAAACGTCGACGCGAGCAAACCTCTCGTATCGATATTTTTTAAACCCTTATATGTATTTTAACTGTTTCGTTAAGTTTGTGTGTATTATATGTGTGAGTGCCGTTTACAAATCATTTTTTGTTGGACTTTTATCTTTTATCAGGGGCACTATGACAATACCAAACGCTTTTAAAGTATAGAACTTCCATATGATGCTACCTCTCCAATTTTAAAATTTGTGTTTGTCTCTTTTTGACTGTATCCCTTTCTGAAGAAGGTCATAGAAGACCGAAACGTCAATATATGGACAAAAAATTTTAATAGCTTTTAATACAAAGACCTATAACCCAATAACCAAAAGCTAAACATACAAATATTTAATAGATAAATTTAGTTTAGTATTTTTTTTTGTTTTTATTGCTAGCCATTTTACTCGAAAAAGCATTTTATGTTTTAGCCTTTTTTAGTTTTTAACTTTTTGTAATTCTTTATATTTATTATTCTATCGTTTTTGTTGTTTAACTTTTAAGCATGTACCTATTTAGATGTGTGACTAGACTTACTTGTTGTGATTTAAATAATTCATTTGTTTTAGTTATTTAGCAGCACTAGAAAATGTTGCAGTGTGACGCTAGTATGCAATGCTAATTCAATTTTTTTAATTCCAAATGAAAATTATATCGCCACTATTGTTAAAGAACCGTCGCATTTATTCGTTCCCCCATCTATTTGCCTGAGGATCGATAATATCCCTTGCAATAAATTTTCCCCGAGAAATGTTTACCTGGCAACGAGAACTACATCGCAATATTATAGCTCCGTGTTCCGCGTGTACAATACAACAACAACGTAATGATTTCCAGGAGAGAACATTTACTGAATAGACCATGGGAACAACGGAAATTTGAAAACCATAAAAAAAAGGTAATTTCGAAATGTTTCTCGTTAGATAACTAATTTAGTTGTATGCATAACCTTGTGCATAGCGTCAATCATGTTTTTTTTTTTGGCAAAATTAAAATAATTTCATGGTTGACTTCTGGCATTATGATATTAAATGCGAAAAACTAAAACTTAAAGGGGTGATTTATTGTTTACAGTGAATTGTTTTGGTTTTGGTTTTTTTATAAACGTGGAGTCAAAAGCCAACAATTAAAATATTACGGAAATATTACTATTATAAAGGCAAAGTTTCTGCATATTTTTTAAATTACTGGAGGAGTTAAATCAAACTCCCTCTATTATTCTGCTAAACTAAATGTAACGGAAAACTTTTCTACGGCAATTTTCTGTTTCGAAATAAAAAAATGAAATCTAAAACAATGCATAACGAGATAAATTATTACATTTAAAAAATCTAGCGGGCGCTGTCATTTATTAAGGCGTTTCTTAATATATTAATTAAAAATATATTATCCAATACTAATGTGTCAACTGTATGCAGCATATTAAAAAAAACACTTGTTATATCCATATAAAGTATAGATGGTACAAACTCTTACTAAGAGATTTTGAACCGAAGACTATTTCCCCCCATGGTTTCGCCGAACGAATATCGATGATCCTTTGTTCCTTAAATTCTAAAGCTAGTTTCTCAAAAGATGCAATTCAAACCTTCCACAACAGGCATGTATGGTTAGGGATTGTTGATCATCATTAACGGATAAGTTTTATTTTCGTTTTCTACAGAAACAATTACGTCATTTCCCAGAAAATGTAGCCCTGTTAACTAGAAGAGTATTATATGCATGATATATTTTACTGGAAAAATAACTTCCCTGTATTTTCAACATGATTCACTAGACGCTTCATAAATCTCAAGGTAGATGGCGCTCAAGTCATATAAATTCAAATTGAAGAATTCGGTAAATTTTAAAAGTTTAATTTAAAGATAAATTTTAGAAATGGACATGACACGGTAGTGACATTTAGCTGATATGTTGTAGGTTCTGTCTGGATGACAAATTACATTATATAAAAAATATGATGATCGTCTAATAAATACAAAAATTGGTTTATTATCTTATTTAATAATCACTTTATTCACTGTTTATGCATGAATAGATTAATTTGTTTCAGAAATGTTTATTAATACATTATCTTTAAAATGTTGGTACTAAATACAATTGATAGCAACAAATTAAATTATTTCTCTAAAATATTTTTTTTCAATATTTCTAGCTGCAGGTTTTATGAACTAATTGCAGGAGCCTAAGAAGTTTCTAAATATAATGTAAAATAAGAAAAAAAGTTCTTTCTTAAATTTAACGTAGAAGAATGATGTTTTTATAAAAGGAGTACTGCTGTAATATTTTATTGAGCGTTTTTAAGATAAAAAGTATTATTTCTCTGTCATATGTGCAGTGCGATACATTCCCAATGTTTGGCTTTTGACTCAAGGTTTATATAACAATCTTCCATTTATTTTAAACAAGGAGTCAATTCAGTCTCAGGTTACAAACCCAGTTTTGCTGCTGAATAACTACGCATTCTATAAGTAATTAATAACTACATTCTCTGATAAATTGAAAAATATGACATTCATGAGATACAACATATGGTCTGTGGTTACACTTTACAGTAGATTTCGCTGACATACCTCAAATATGTCATAAGTATTCGAGAAATTAATATGAGGTTACATTTTGACAAAATACAAGTTCTGTTGAACGCCTGTAAAATATACAGGGTTGGTGTTTTGTTTTACGTGTTTACATTTTAATATATTTTTAAAAACAAAAAAGTTATAGCCAATCAACATGGTAAGCAAGATACATTGAATAAATTGAACGGAAAGTACCTAAGGTGTAATGATTGCTGACTGAGCTAACTATAATAATAAAACAGGATGTCAGCGAATAATGTAGCGTAACTTTAAAGAATCATTCCTTGGTTAATTTTAAGACAAAAGGTTTATATAAAGGTGGATTCTAAGGCCTTTGTTTTTGAGGTACGGGATCATACATTTTTATTTTTGTTTGTCCTAAATAATATTTGAAGTAATTTTGAAGTCGCGATAGAAATTGGTATTCGAGACTTTTCATACATGCGAAATTGGAATGCGATTTTAGTATGGCTCTAACTTGTATAACATTTATAGTAAAAAAAAAATTTGCGAAAATTTCTTCAGAGCTTGATTGAAACTGAAAGTTTCAGTAAAGCTCTGAAGAAGCCAACAGGCGTTTGGCGAAACGTCAGCAATTTCGACTCAGCAAAAACCGACACAGGAGGAATCCAGAAGTTTTGTAAAAAGTAAGACCGTAATTATAGTGACACAAATGAGAAAATCCGTTCCGAGAACATTAATGCACCCAAATTTTATGAAACCTCAATTTCAAAAACCCACTATATCTAATTCAAAAAAATTCCAAATAAAACAAAATCAATTTATTCAACAATAACGAAAGCCATTCATTCAGATAAGATCAAACCCGGAAACGTCAGCAAGTTCGACTCACCAAAAACCGACACAGGAGGAATCCAGAAGTTATGTAAAAACCAACCAAAACTAATCAAATCCGTTTATTCAAAAACATAACTTTAATCGAAGACCTTATTTTTTTAATTTAAATCCAAACTTTACAAAACCAAATTTCAACCAATTTAATCCACATCCAATTCCAAAACAAAACAAACCAGAACCTCATCCGAAAATACAAGAATTACAAGAATTAATCAACCACAACGAAACTTCATTTCCAAAGAATTATATAACCAATTAGTAATTCCTGAAAATAACCCAAATGTTAACCAAATTACATTAAATTCAGCTTTAGCATCCAATGAAAACTCTTTTGACTTCTATGCGGAATACCATTTTCCAGAATATTCTTATGACCATCATGATTATCCACATCATGACTTTCGAATTTGACGATTACCCATTCGAAATTTCCATTGACCAATACCAATCAATGAGAATGATTTTCCAACGAATATAATGAAAATCTTCAGAAAGCCCCCAATATTGCCAACCAAACGTAAGCAATTGTAAAAACTATAATGTTAATAACACCTCTATATTCCGATTTGCCTATAATTTATACCCCAGAAATCGATGGACACTTTTTATTAGTCACAGGTACCGCAAAAAGCATCTAATGCAAAAATAATTAGAAAAGACTTATAAGACAAAACAAGAATAATAATACAAATTACAATGAAACACGCCAAGAAATTCCCATATAAGACGAAATAATCAACAATAAACAAAAACAATTAGTTCTTAAGAAAGCACCTTATTCTACTTACATAAAATATAATATTGTAAAATTTGATGGTCATAACATTACGAAAGCAATAATTTCCGAAACTGAAACTATTTTGCCTAAATTTGTGTAAGCAACATCTAAACAATTAAAAAACATATTCACTTGTCTAAAGAACTGCGACCTATTGTGCAAAAATCTTTAACTAAGCATTTTCAAAACTGTAAACTAATTGAATGTACAAAATTAATTAATAATGTTAATACAGAAGAAAGAAAAATGTTTATTCGTTATAAACATGAAGGAAAAACAAATCATTAGATTATCGATAAATTTTCTAAAGTTGCACAAGCACTCTCTTGGAACCGCTATTTCAGCATGTCAAGAGTTAGTTCCCTTTTTCTCGTTCTATGGAATTCTGAAACTAATAATCTTTGATAATGGAAATGAGTTTAAAAATTTAAAAAATTTAAAAACTCCTTATCAAAAGTACATAAAATAAAAATTCACTTTACATTGCCAAATCATCACGAATCTAATTCACCGATAGAAAGCCTTCATTCAACTTTAATCGAACATTTAAGGCTACTCAAAGAATCTGAGAATAAATCTGATATAATTTCGCTAATACCCTTCTCAATTATTACTTATAATAGTACTATACATTTAAGTGCAAATTATACACTCTGGGACACACCCTTTAACTTTAATTCCCTCACAAGCCTATTCTGGATATGTTAATTCTCACCAAACAAATACAAAACTCCTCTATGATAAAATCCATGTCAACTTTCTAATTAAAAAACAAAAAATTATTGATAAAATAAAAAAAACATAAAATTCTTCGGACCATTAATTTTAATTAAAGTTCTAGAAAATAACAAGATTGACATCCAAAACCAGAAAACAAAAAAGAAACAAAAAATTAATGAGACTAAAATTATGAATATTGTTCCAGATGGCTCGGATTCGTTAGAACAAATGACGCCAAATACTAAAGATACGATTACCCAGGACTTCTTCCTTAATTAATTGGGAACTGAAAAAATGATTTCTAATACTCTCTTACTCATGCAAATCTTTGACTTAAATAATCTAATTTCTGAATGTGATATAATTGAAATCAAGCCAAATTGCTAATAGAAAAACTAAAAAATAACGATCGATACTCTGTTGAAACTTCGAACTATATTACTCCACTCTTAGCTTTAGAAAAACGTATAGAGAACCAAATTATTACTAACTCTATTAGTGGTAATTTAGATTAAACTGATGCCGAAAAATATGAAATGCAAATTAAGGAACAAGAAAACCAAAATAAACTAACAACCAATTCAATTAACCAAATAAAATAATTATGTTTCATAATGCAATATCCAATATCTTACATAACCAATTTATCCTTAAACCAAAAATGCTGCAAATAGAAGAAATAGTTAAGAAAATAGCATTTTCAACAAAGGAACGATTTTGACGATTTTCAAATCTATGTAGCCACAAACCAATTGAATGTAATATATAATTTAATTGTAAGGGGCAATTACCGCTTGAAGTATTTCTCGAGAACTTACTAATTCTTGAAAAAATCATCGAAATTAAAAGCTATTCAAAGGATCTGTAGTTACGTTTATTCTTGAAGTACCATTAATTGAAGCAAAAATTTATCAATACGATCAAATCTTTCCGTTACCAATCTCGACTGGAAAGGAATCTTAATTTAATCTCAATATACCTCTAAAACTATACCTTACACTCAGTGAAAACAAATATAACTTGATAGATCAAAAATGTATTGAACTACGAGGAAATTAGTACCTGTGTAAAGAAACCTACGTTACCTACGTTACCCAATGGCTTACTATAACTTCCTGCGAAACTTATAAAGTCCGACTTGGAAAAACCCAAGTTTTTAGAATTCAAGATGGAAAATGGAGAGATGACAACCACAAAGAAAGTGATAGCTACTATAAAATGTGAAAATAACATAAAGAGTGTATCATTATGTGGATCTTACCTCGTCGAATAATCGCCTGCCTGTGGAATACAAAGAGAAACTACAAAACTGAGGACGTATAAACCGAATCGATTAGTCTTCGACGATACGCGGCCTCCCTAGCGACTTTATATAGAAAGAACTAGTGTTTGGACTATTGTTTTGTATGTATATTCTTATTTTGTTAACAATTGCTTATCTTTAATATAAACATTTTGTTTCTAGCAAACCAAAAGTAAAAGAAGAAATAATCGAAAATATTGTAATATAATAAAAAGCACTTATTGCATGCGTGCTTTTATCAAAGGGCGGAGGAGTTATAAGTCCCCTTGAGCTTTATCATTGCTGAGGTAGCATCCTGACGATAATGTTATTTTGTTCTTCATAATTCTTTTGAGGCAATAAGATTTATATAAATATGGGTACACGTACAATTGTAAGTCAGTTCTTGACAAACCAATAAATAAAATATAATAAAATTTTTAAAAAATCAAATTTGTTTTCAAGGACAAAAACTGCGGCATCTGAAAGTGATTAAAATAAATAATTTTTTTCATAATAGAAAAATGTACGGTGGTAAATCATAACAATATTATTAATTGTTACATTAACTTTACAGCAATCAAATTAGTTTGCAAAGAACCGAATCGTACTTTGTAGAAAATCATTGTTTTTGTAATTATTATTTTATTTATGACAAATGTTCATTTCGTTTATGCTAGACGCAATAACTACGCTGCTGTAGCAAGCGTACCTATACTATTTACAAATCTTCTGGAGTCGTCCTGCGTCGGTTATTTATAAATCATACTTGCTGACGTTTCGCCAATCATCCTGATGGCTTCTTCAAAGCTTAACTGAAATTAGTTCGCATTCTATTTTATACCTGCTTATATATTGTTTGAGGGGGATTGATGTTGAGGAACGTTGTCTCGGATGACTGAATCCCATATTGGTGAAAGGTTGAGTTGCGGTTAAGACTGTGTGATTGCTTATTGCTTGTTTATTTCTATAGATCCTCGGATTTTTCGTTGGTAGAAAAATTGATCACATACAAGAATAATTAGATATTCTAAGAATGGGAAATTATTAGTAGTTTCTAATTCAATAGTAAAACGTATGGGATAGAGTGTATAGAGTTTAAACGTCTAAGAAAATCTACTAGGGATTCTTGACCATGAAGTCAAATAACAAAAGTATCATCAAAGTAGCGCTTCCATAATTTTGGCCTTAGATGGAAGGCTTGAGGGCTCTCTTCTGAAAGGCTATCATGAGTCAAGTTTGAAAATGTATCGATTTCGGATGAGGACATTGATTTGGTCTATTTCTTTACGGATATGACGAATTCCTTCTCGAAGTATAGCAAAACTAGATTTACAAAGAATTTTACAAATAGATTTGGTTTTGAGATGATATTTTAACAAAATTAGGGACAACGTTATAGTCTTTACAACGTAATAAAAAGGTAAGTGTAAAAGTAATCTTACCAGTTTCAGTCAGTGATCTTCTAACTTTCCGCTTTTGCGCTTGACTTACTCTCCATAAAAGATTGTTAATATTTCAAAGAAACTTCACAGGTCACTGCAATTCTAACAAGTTATTGTAATATTATTAACAAATCTTCTGGATTCATCCTAACTCGGTTGTTTATTAATCAAACTTGGTGACTTTTCGCCAATCATCCTGTTGGATTCTTCAGAGCTTGACTGAAACTGGCTCGCATTCTACTCTGAAAGTGCTTATATATTGTTTGAGAGGCAACCACAAATCTTAACAGCGATTCAGGTGAAAATACACTTCACTACAACCTTCCAGAGACAGTGAGTCTAAAAGCCTTAAAACTAAGAGCCTTAAAACTACCACAAATAAACCCATCAACCAACTTGTTGGCTTCTTCAGAGCTTGAATGAAACTGGCCCGCATTTTACTCTGTACCTGCTTTTATATTGTTTGAGAGGGGCAGGAGGAATCCAGAAGTTTTATAAAAATATTATAGTAGCCTGTGGAAGTTTCTTTGAAAAAAAAAACTGTAATCCGGTAGAATGTGAGCCAGTTTCAGTTTAGCTGTGAAAAAGGCAACATGATGATTGGCGATACGTCAGCAATTTCGGTTCATCCACAACTGGCGCAATAGAAATCCAGAAGATTTGTAAACAGTATTTTTAATTCTAAACACTAGGAGCATATTACAAAATTAGTATTTAGTTGATTACAAATCTGTGAGACGTCTATCCATATTACAGCAAGGATTGGGTTCTAATATTGCAACCAGAGAACTTTTTATCTCCAGAGTGTGCTATTTCCCATTCCTGAATACGGTGGTATATTTTCTCCCAACTTGTTTTCCCACGCGGCAGTGTGCGACTTTGTGCCTCTAAAGTCTTTGGTCTAAGGTTCAATCGGCTTCCCCCGTCGTGGATAATAAATCTCCTCCGTTCAGGGGACACGTGAGAGTCAAACTCAAGAAAATGCAGAAAGAAAAGGAGCGGATGAATAAAATTGAAGGCGAAAATTTTCTTCTGTTGAAGAAAATGAGTTACATCACACAAAAACATTGGATGGATAATTGGTTACCACCTCAGCCTAAGTAAGACTTTCGGCGAACAAATCTTTAGATATAAAAGGTTGTGCGGTTTTCTATGTTGTTAGGCTGAACTATTCTTTTTTGCAGTTTTCTCAGTAAAATTGAACTGTATAACGCTAGGCCCCTGTTAGTGAAACAAACTGAATCTGAAATGGAAAGCGATAGTTGCGTCGATAAGGCACCCAGGCACAGTAAATTTAGATGTTCCGCTTGTACGCTTCAGAAACTACCAGAATTGAAGGTAAGGCAGCGCAAAAGAAAAACTTTTTGAGCATATCTTGCACAATATGTTTTGAATTAATCGCAGAATCCAAATATGAAGAAATATGTCGGATATTTCATGAGAAGAAACACAAATGATACTACAGATTTTCATATTCTCATCATTTATTTCTCAATGTTTAACAATAATTAACACTTCAAAGTATAAATTCGCACTACATAATTAAAATTTTAGTTCATATTTGCACCTTATTATTGATAGAATCTTCCACGGGCGGTTATTACTTGAATAAATACCATTTATCGAGTCGACTCACACACTCACACTGTAGGAATTTGCAAATCCATGGGATCAAAATCCAAAAAAAATAAACTCGTTGATATCTACGATGCTATAATTTTTATGAAGAATCTGTACCTATACCTGCAATAATTGAAAAAATATAGCAATAGCAACTGTAATTGTTTTTATTTATAAACAGTGTGTCCAAATAGTGTGTCAAAGTAATATATCCCTTTTATTATTTGTTTTAAAAAAAATGTATAAACAAAAGTTTTACATAAGGCCTAAAGAAACATTTTATTTATTTATTATTTTCAAATAGACAGGGCGATTCATAAATAAGTTGGGAATCAAACTGTTATTTTTTTTAATCTTTTCTGTACATTATTGCTTAAGACTCAATAACCCAATGTAGGGTTATTATGGTATATACCGAGTATTTTCGCGCTTATGACCATTTTTTTGTCAAAAACACTTTATATTTTTGACACTATTTCCAACAGCTGTAATTTTATGTGTTATTTACGGACGAATTTACGACATTCCATAAAAACGGTTATGTGAATAGGCAAAATTTTCACTATTATGTTAACAATTTTAACAAAAAACCGTCTTTAAATGTTTGTAAAATAGAAAACGTCATAGGACATCATTTTTTCGAAAACAATGAATGGCTAAGTTTTCTTATATATGCAAAATATGCAAACGAAATGAGGCAGATAATGTGGTCTTTCATGGTGGATCTCCTGCACACTATACCATCAAGCTACGAACTACTTAAATAATTTATCTCCTCGACTAACAAAAATGGACCATTTTCTGGGCGAGTATGTTAAAAAATCAGGTGTATAAATCTAGCTAATACTGCCCAATCATTTAAAGACCGTGTTAGGGCTTGTATCGAAATTGATGGGAAACATTTCGAGCAATAAATAAAGTAAAACTTAATTAAACAATTCTTTTTTGATTTGCAGTTTTGATGTTCTTCTTAGTTTTTATTTATTATTATTATTTATTATTTTGTTCTAAATCTTTTGTGATATTTTTGCAAGGTTTGGAAATTTTCAGTATTTTGTTGGTAAGAATGTGTGAACCTCAAAAAATACTAAGTTAAGGTATAGGAAATGCTTAATAAAATTAAAAAAGCATTAATAGGAATAATTAATGAAGGTATAATATACAGTGTGTTCCATTTGATTTCTTTGCTAAAATTTATATTTTTCATTTTGACTCGCAACGATTAGAACTAACTTCAAGACAGGTATGGACTGTACTACTTTATAAAATTGTAGACATAATAAAATTACAGCAAGCGGAAACCGCATCAAAAATATAGGTTATTAAACATTAGGGTATTTTTGACGATTTTATGAATCAATATTTGAATATTTTTAGTCTTATCTATAACTTTTGTATTTAACATTTTTCTCTGAAACAAATGATCAACTTTGATTCACTGTTTGGACACCCTGTATAGCTTCAATTTTCTTGAAATGCTTTTTCTTTGATGAAACACATTGTCTAACGGTAGAAATGTCTGCCCACGGACGAAACAGCATTTAAGATAAATATTTGACAAAATCAGATTGCGTGTTGACTTTTTGTGCGAAATGAAGACTAAATTTAAAAAAATTAAAAGGCTTCAATGTGGAGATCACTTTACTACCTAGTTGTCTACTATTTACAAATCTTCTGGACTCCTTCTACGTCGGTTGTTGCGGAAGGCGGAGCTAAAGGAGTGACATGAACATTGTCTCGGATGACTGATTCCCATATTGATGAAAAATTGGTGGAAGAATTTTAGTTTGGTCGAAGAATATTTGGTGAGAGTTGTCATCATTATATTTGGTATCTGTTGATGAGTTTGTTTGTCATCGTCTTGTTCTTTTAGCCTATTTTTCATCCTGTTTTTCCAATCTATTCATTGCCGCATATGCATAAAATGCTCTAAACTCTTGTTGTCTCAAAACAAATTCTGTCTTTGATGGATCTAAGATTTTGAAATGTTATTTTGGCAAATCTAGTAGTTAATATTATATTTTATAAGAACTTTTGATATTTGGTCAGTAATAATTTGAATCTAAGCAGAGGCCACAGTGGCAAGTTCCATTTTGGACTCATTTTATTTAATAGGTTGTGGTGAAGCGTATTTCGTAATGCAACGTTTAATATCTTTAATGTGGAAATTATTTGATACAACAGAATATATGCAGTGTTTTAATTCGGGCTCCAGTGGTACGGGTTGAGATAGTTCAACGGTTCTGTAAACTAGAGTGTGCGTGAATGGTTAATTCTTCTGCCCCACCCCCCCTCAATATTGAGGTGGGTTTGAGGTTCGTGAGGTAGGCGTTACCTAAGGGGGGGAGGAAAAAAATTCAATCCTACGTCGAAGCGCCTATACTTGGCACGTTTCTGAACCTCGATGTCCTATATCCGTCTGTGGAGTTTTTTTTTTCTCCTCAAAGTTGAACAAGTTTGCTATCTCGGAGGTTTTTGGGTCCAATCGGTTCAAATTTGTTTTAGAGGGGTTTTTCGGGCGGAAAAGTTCGAAATCGCTATATCGCACATACTCAAAAATCGGTTTTGAGGGTCGGGTTTGGATGCTCACCGATACCGATCGATAATGAAGTCGACCCCGAGCCCTTTCGGCATCTCCTGAAATATTCTTCCTCCTCCCAAAATCAAAAATCGGAAATTTCGATTACGTCGCCGAGAGCAATTCCGCGTCACGCGAAGTCCTCAAAAAATCCTCAATATTGAGGTGCTACTAGATTTTTTAATTTTTGAGATGCAAGTCGTCATCGGATTTCCCCCAACCGAAAGGCTACCATCCAGGCTTCCTCAAGGACCGGAGACCTTTTTTTAGGTTTTGAGGAGGTCGAAAACAAAAAGTTTGTTATCTCTGAAATTATGCTGTCGATCGGGACCAAATTTTTTCGGGATTCTTAACCATAAGACCAAATGAAAAACGAAGCATAAACGCAGCGTTTCCATAATTTTAGTTTAATTATATTTGCGATTACTAGTAACAATGGAGGACCCATAAGTTGTTCCTGATATTTTTTCATAAATTTGACCGTTACGATAAAAATATGTTTTAGACAAGCATTTCTCAATTAAGATGAGAAGGTTTGATTCCAGTGAGGAAGTGAAAGTAATGAAGTACGAAACTAACAGTTTTAATATAGAAGCTAGAGCTAGAGCTAGCTACCGAATAGGTTTGAGTCCCGTAGAAACGAGTAATTTTCGAGTGGTGAGGAGTGACCGATTTTTTCACAATTCATATCTATTGAAGCATTTACTTAACTGCTTTTAGAATTGCTATGTAGTGATTATATGTTAGAGATTTTACAGCTATGCGTTTAGGCTTTCAAATATTAAAATTTCGAAGTTTGGAATTTTTAAGGATTTTTGAATCTACAAATCGAATTTCGTTAGTTGTTTAACATGACATTTTGTTTAATGTGAAACTCGACATTTGAAATGATTTTCTCATCTGGGCCTGTGGAGGTTTCTTTGACAAATTACTTTTCAACTTTTTAAATAATCATTTAGTGCACTATACTCTTGAGACGCGCTAAATTAATAGTTCAAACAATGTTAAATTAAACCACTACCGATTTCAGATTGCCGAAAAAGAAATACCCTTGAGAGTCCTACCAAAGGAACCCGTAGGCAGAAGTAGGAGCAAATCTGTGCCTGCCACGAAACTTCTACCGACGATAATTGAAAAACCTCATTCAGCGAACGCCGAATATACCAGCAAATCGAAAATGCTAAGACATAATATTTTAAACAACGAAACTCAGAAAATAACGTTGTCTAGGGGATCATTAAAACTGTCTGTAAATTTTCCTCCTGACACTACCATCAAGTTCGATGACGGACAGTTTGAGAAATACTTAACAAGGGGCCATTGCCATTGTAATAACTTCAACCTTAAGAGTGCCTTATAAAAATGAACATTTTTTTTTCCTTGTAGCAAGTTTGAAGACCGAAGGATTTTGCTTGAAATACAACATATACTCCTTTCAAATATAATTTTTGTAATTATGTATTTGTTTTTGCACTGTTAATTTAATTTAGTGTTAGTATAATATAAATATAGATAATTAAAAAATATTGCACCAGGAAACATTTAATTTTTAGTTAAAGCTAAAAAAGTTATATAGAATTTGAATATCAGGTACGGAAACCTTAATTATAGAAATATACTTAACTTTATAAAGAAAATTGCCAATTTCTAAGAAATAAATGAAATAAAACGTTTTCTATTCCAAGGTTAGGAGGGTGGCCTGTTTATTATCTCAGGACCTGTAAAAGATATAAAAAAAGACAAAAGTTGTTTGAAATCACTTACACATTTAAAATATTATAAAACATCCTGTATAGCACAGGGCAAATAATTATTTTAAATTGCACTATAAGAAGTTCAGAATCTGAAGAAGCATTTGATGAAAATCCTGAACTTAGTACTATGAATATCTCGCACGTCTGGGTTTGGAAAATCTTGCACGATTTTTTATTGTACCCATATCATACTCAACGAATCCTTGTGCAAAATTGTTTGACTAGTTAGAGATAAAGCTAACTTTTTCGGGAATGCAATCAGAAATTTCCACAATAACCATATTTTTGCCCATGAAAACCCCCATGCAGTTGTAGAACTTAAACGTCAAGAACAGTTTTCGGTAAATGCTTGGGCTGGAATTGTTAGAAATTACTTAATTGGACCCTTTTTCCTGATAGAAAGGTTTATTATCGCCGGTTTTTAGCAGAGAATTTGCCAATATTGCCAGAAGAAGTACCATATTTAATTAGAAACACAATGTGGTTTCATATTTACTTTAGTGTTGCAGTAAGAGAATATTTAAATCACACATTTAACAACCGATGGGTAGATCGCGGCGGACCTCAATTATGGCTCCCTAAGTCCCCAAATTTAAATAGTTTGGATTTTTTCTTATGGGGACATCTTAAAAATCTGGTTCATCGCGCTCCAGTTAACACTGTAGAAGAGCTGAAGGAGCTTCCTGTGATTTAATAAGAAACACTGGAGGTTTAGTTCAGAAAATGCGCGTCAATATCAGGAAAAGAGCTAAAAGAGTTATTGATTTGAGGTAGTATTTTTTTAAAGAATTATTATTTATCTTGTTGCTAGGACGTTATATTACTTCATTAAAACTGGAAAAGTAAAAGGAACAGTCTTCTAATTTTTTTTTCTGAAGGACACTAGATGATAACTAAAAACTGAATATTTTGTTAATTATTGTTATTAAATTAGAAAACACCCTGTATGTACAACATGTTTGTATTTTCGAAGGCACGCAACAACTTTCAATATGGAACAAATTCTTTTAAAGATCGGGTATTGGATTTCAATAAACATACTCACACACGGACATAATAATTTGTTCTGCGAATTCTTGCAGTAAATAGAAAATTTACTATATTTTCAAATTCAGCTTCAAATTTCACTCATAGAACATGTAGCATATAGTATATCATTAATTTGGATTATTTTGTATCTAATTCTAAATTGTAAATAACTTAATCCAGTGTGGCAATATCTTAGAGATTTTTCAGGCCATTCTACTCATCCTCTACCAATCCACTGTTCAGGAAATATGGTATTTAGATAATTACGCAATTCTCGAGCAAAATTGGAACAAACACCATTCTGATGAAACCAAATCTGTCCATCTGGCATATCATATTTGATTTGGATTTGACAAAGAAACTGCGATATTAGGAATTAAGTTATTTTGAAGAAATTTTAAATATCGAGTAAGGATATACAATACAAATTTTTTTCAAAGAAACTTCCACAGGCTACTGTAATGCTTTTTACCAAACTTCTGGATTGCTGCTGAGTCGGTTTTTGCTTAGTCGAAATTGCTGACGTTTCGCCAATCATCCTGTTGACTTCTTCAGACTGAAATTGGCTCGTATTTTACTCTGTACCTGCTTATATATTGTTTGAGGGGGGCGCCAATAATAGAAAATCAAACCTAACATTAGGTCATTGTGTTTACAGAAAACCTACGCACACAGACCGATACTTTAATGCATGTTCATATTACTATCCGGCCCAAAAGTCATCGGTTATCAACTCTCTTGTTTACAGAGCCGTAAAACTATCTCAGCCCGAGTCACTGAAAACAGAATTAAAACACCTTACCTCTGCTCTTCTCTCTAATAATTTCCACATTAAAGATATTAAACGTTCCATGAAAAAATACAAAAAATACACTTCACCACAACCTTTCAATAGCAATGAGGCCGAAAGCAATCTTACACTTGCCACTGTGGTCCTTCCTTACATTCAAAACATCACTGACCACATATCAAAAGTTCTAAAGAAGTATAACGTCCAAACCAGATTTACGACTTATCCCAAAATCTCTCAACATCTGCGGTCCGTCAAAGACAAAATTCCATTTGACACGCCAGGAGCTTACAGCATTCCATGCATATATAGAATACATTGAAGAGACCGGATGAAAAATATCAACTAGGCTCAAAGAACACGAAAGAGCCTTACGACTAAGACAAATAAACTCATCAGCTGTTGCCGAACACACTCATGAAACCGGGCATAAGATTTTATTCGATAAAACTAAAATTCTTGCATGTAATCAGTTCTTCTACCAACGAAAAATCCGAGAGTATATAGAAACAACCTAAAATCTAAAATCGCGACTCGGGTCTCTACCTGTCTCCAATTTGGGAATCAGTCATCCGAGACAGTGTTTAGCGCCCCCCTCAAACAATATATAAGCAGGTACAGAGCCAGTTTCAGTCAAGCTCTGAAGAAGAAAACAGGATGATTGGCGAAACGTCGATGAAATCGAATCTTTCGAAAGTATCTACGTTCGTATAAAAATTTTATATCTCGGTAACGGCAGAGCCTATGGGATCGCTATTGGTACAGAAATGATTTGAGTGTTTCGTGTGTTACCATCATTTTTTTTGTACTTATGATGAACACTTGTTATGTTCCGGACTGTCTGGGGAATTGTAAGAATGGACCAAAAGTGGACATTTTCTCATTTCCACAAGCCGAAAAAATGGATTCAAGCAATTAAAAGGGTTGATTCGTTAGTTCCAACAAGAAACTCAAATGTGAGTAGTTTTTATTTCTTAATTTTTTATTCAGTGTTATTAATATACATCAGCAAGTTCGACTCAACAAACAACCGACGCAGGAGGAATCCAGAAGTTTTGTAAAAAGCAATATACAATTTTGTTTGTTTATCGTACTGTTTAAACAAAAAGTGATTTCGTCACCAGACAGAATCTGACGATGAAAAAATAGATTTAAGTTTCAGATAATCGTTCGGCTCCTGTAGTAATTTTATCTTGTACGGATGCTGATAGTTTTCCACTTTTAACATACGCAATTTTATTTGAAACTTCTTTGGAAGCTATACAATGGAGATGATCTTCAACTTTTAATAAAATGTTTAATCTCGTGTTTCCATTAGTTTTTTTTTTCTTCCTGAGTTCTCGTTTTGTCTACATATCCAATAAAAATAAAAATTGAAATTCTCTATGTTTCATTTAGAGGAGCCATTACTGAGACTAGCTACTTACCTGTTCATTTCATAATTAGGTTTCTGATTTATTAACAGTTATTAACTATTAAATGAGAAAGTAAATTTTGAGCAAATTTGACACAGAATTACAAAATGGATTAAAAAAAAATGGTGTTTGATTTAAAGAAAAGCAACGTGTTGAAATTTTAATAATAAATAACTACAGGGTAGTTAAAAAAATCATTAAAAATTAAAATACAAAAGCGTTAGAATTCTGTTTTTCAAATGGAAACAAGAGGGGTACAGAGTTTGATCATTTCCGTTCTATTAGTATTATGCTTGCACTATGTTAGAGAAAACAAATAAAAGCATTTTTAATATTTACAGTATTTTGCTCCCGAAACGATTAGGTTTTCGACCTGATTATACTTACGAAAGTGCTCTTGCAGATGCAATAGATAACATTTTTAATGATTCAGATCATAACAAAGTTACTGGATTTGTTTTACTAGACAAAGTCAATTCATGATAAATAATAAAATCCTCATTTCAATTCTTCATCACTTAGGATTCAGTGAAATATTTTATAAATTCGTATCATGCGTTGTACTTTTGCTTTACTTCTGTAAGCGATTTTTACATCCAGGTTTACATCACTACAATACTTTTATTTTTCTCAGAAGTGCCTTAACGAAGCAAGTGATTCTGATTTGAATAGGTTTTACGAATTTGTCGCTCGTACTTAATCCTTATAAATTCACAGTGATGATTGGAAATGACTATCAAATTGATAATATTAATAGCAAAGTAAAATTCTCTATAAAGAACTCTGTTTTGCCTTTTTGTAGCACTTGCAAAAGTTTAGGACTTACTCTAGACTCTCGGCTAAAATTTAGAGAGCGCGTTACAAGCAAATTAAAGATTGCATATAGTAAACCAAAATTAATTTATCGAAGCCGTCATTGTCTGTTATACTTGGCACAGTTTAATCATTGTAACAGAGTATTCGTGCCTTATGTAGATAATATAGAGAATATCGTATTCAAAAGGTTCAAAACTGCTGGTCTTTTAGACTGATATATGAAGTTAGACGTAGCACTCATGTTTACGTCAGACTCTTTTAATATGTTCGATATAAACTTCACGCCCTGTTATTCTATTGCAAAATCATTCAATATGCGACACCGCCCTATTTGTACAACAAAATTAAATTTCGAACGGATATTCACCAATTTGAATCTCCGTACTGTGCCTAAAGCATCGAAACGAGCATTTAAAAAGGTCCTTCTCATACCAAATTGCAAATTCGATTAATCAATATCCCTCCTTAATATACTTTCCTCCGGCGCTATTCACCCTAAAAAATATGTTTAAAAATTGCCTTTGGCTAAGCAAAATGCTTGCTAGCAAGATTTCATTTTCTTTTCTACCTAATTAGACCTTTACTTAGATAATTCCCTGTCCTTAATTCCCTCCCAAGCATTGTTTTTTTCTATTATATTAGGCCGTAACAGTATATGGCTGACTTTTTTAGCCCTTTGCTGCCAAATTTAATTAGGAATATGATTTTGTAAATTTGTTGTTATTATTGGTTAAAGCAATAAAGCTATATTTATTTATTTATAATAACAGATAAAAAATGATCAAGTTGTATGGCATCAAACTCTTAAACATTAAAGCATGGAATATCAAAATGGCGACGTTCCAGTATCGCTATATTGTTTTTTTTTCGCCCTATTTTAGCATTTTCATAACCAACTAATAGCAAAACATAAAAGTCGTATAGAATTTTTACGGGGACAAAACATTTTATTGTAAAAATCGACAACCTTTTGTAATAAAGAACTTTATAGAAATTTCCATCTTCTTTAATGCTAAATAGGATAAAAATATAAAAACTTTTAATATTCTTTTTGAACAACTTATATGCATTTATTTTAAAAAAAAATTCACAGACCACTCTACAGTAGACCTTCTTTTACAAATGTCTAAATAAACTCGTGGAAAAAATTAACGCAACCTTATAAATTTGTTACATTTTTGATACTATTTTTTTTCTGAATTTTTGATAGGAGCGAAATGATTGTTTTTGCGTTGTAGGTTGGTTCCTTGACAATGTCACAGTTTTCGCTGATAATAATAAAATGTTTATTTTTGATTTATACCGGGAGTAATAAAATTACATGGAGAGAAATCAATAGATATATGTAGACCTGCACACGCCACTAACATAAAATTCCAAATATCAAACAATTTTAAAATGCATGTCCTCTTCAAAATTTGAAAGTTCTTGTTTGCTCACTAAAATACAAACATCTTGTATACATAACACTATAATATTTCAACAGTATAAGTCAACCAAACATCTTTGTTTCTAATTTTTTTATATAGATAAGGTATTATCACATGACAAACGGACTTCCTTGTGCATGACACCGAACTCATCTTTTTTAACCATCCCAAAGGTGGATTAGATTTAAGTCTGGGCTATATGGTGGCCACTCCATTATCAATATTTATTTCATTTAATTAATCCAAAATTGGATTGTATTATTTTGCATGAAAATGAAGCTGTCTCTTATAAGTGGTGCAAAGGGCATTACGTTATCTTTAATAATGTTTTCGAGATAGAATTTTGCATTCGTAGAACTAAGACGAATAGGGACCAGCTCAGCGTGTGCCTCAAAACATATTCCTCATTCCAATCTCATAAGATTCCCCCCAGATCATTTTTAAACCACATCGTTGGATGTATAATTCGTGATGGTAACCTAACAACGCAACGGTCTATTAATTTATATGTAAATTTAACATGATAACAGGGAGAGAATTTCCACAATCCCTATCAATCATTAAAATCGTCACCAAGTAATGGGATATATTTCACCACATTTTTATTTTTATGGGCTTATCAACAGAATAAAACTTACTATATTAGAACAAGAACAATCCAAATTTTAAAAGAAAGAATAAGATAGGCAATCAATGATTATAGGTTTATATATAAATTTACATTGCCAAGAATTATTCAAAATTGTATATAAATTGAAGAGGTTATATAGGAAAAAGAAACTAAGTATTTTACCTTTTTCCAAAAGAAAATTCAATAAATTCTTTAAGTCGGAATTTGTTTTACACTATTTTGTCTTGTGCTAAGTAATTTATTCTATTTAAGAAATTAAAGAGAAAATGTCATTATTAATTTATGCATTGCCTTATCATATGCTATAAGACATTTGAAACCCTTATATTTCCAAAACTAATGTCAACCAATTCAATATTGTTTGGTACTTGACATATAAACACATATTTGTCGTAATAGACGAAGAGCGTAAATGCGCCAGGGGTGCCTTTATCTCATTAGATTTATTTATTTGGAAATAATTTTTCCCAATGGGAAAACGAATGGGAAATTTTGGAAAAAAAAGTTTATTAACTATATCAGTCAATACAAAATGCTAAAAATTGTTTTTGACTTTGCTTAATAAAATTGAAAGAGTATTAATAGGAGTAATTAATGGAAGTATAATATAAAGGATGTTCCATTTGTCTTTTTTTTTATGGAATTCATATTTTTCATTTGAACTCAATCTGCATAAACGATGCGAACCAACTTCAATACAAGTATAGGATAAATGACTGTACCACTTTATAAAACTGTGGGCACAATACAACTTTAGCTGACGAAAAAATGCTCATTAATCCGTAAATACTCAGTATAGTCCATAAAAACCCTACATTGGGTGATTGAGTATAAAAGTGAGTATCTATTAATGCCATAATATACAGATTTCAAAAATATATAAATTATATTCGCACACATTTATGAATCATGCTGTATATTTGAAAATAATTTTAAATTGTTTTTTTAGTCTCATCTATAATTTTTGTATTTAACATTTTTCGCTCAAACAAATAATCCACGAGATTTTGGTATACTATTTGGCCACCCTGTATGAGGTTCTTCATATTGTTCTGACCAAAAAGTTTAGTGTTCGAGAGTTGGTTCCTTGGAGAATTGTTCGAAGTGAAAGCGGTGTTTGGGTTTGTCATTTATTATACAGCAAACCGCGTTTTTATAGTACGTATGTTGATTTTAGTGAACTCTGAGGCAAGATTTTTACCTTCTAAAGCTGCTGTGTTCTTCATCGCCCCCATTAGTACACAGTTTTTTGAACCTTTATTAAAACTTTATTAAAACTGAAAAACTATGGGCATTCATTTGAAACATAGTGTCCATTTATTAACAGTAAATTTTTAAGATTTGTCTTTTTTTTTCTAAATACTTGGACCGTGCTTTACAAGTTCTATTGGGATGTATCCTGATCCTGCAGATTTGTCATATTTAATCTCGTAGAGTGACTGTTTCATTGAAGTGAATTATTTGAAAAGATTCTCGTAGCACTGATGTTATTCTTGTACGCTAATAAGTTGTAGATTATCATACATGTTTCGACGTTTGGTGAGGAGGATGCCTGCGTCTTTTTAAAACTTTGTGTTTTATCCATAGATATACGAGGATAATTTACGTAGATAGCATCGTTTACATTTTAGCATGATATCTAGACGGGCTGAGACAATGTTGCCAAAGCTGAGCATCGACGCAGTTTTTAAAGAATTAATAGATAGAAAATAATATTTTTAGGAATAAAAGAGTTTAGATAAATAGAAATGGCGCAAGAGCGTCAAGTTTGTTGTAGAATTTTCGGTTTGGATTCCGCAGATATAAATACAACTGATTTATTTTCTTATGTCGTGGAATATTTGCGCATGGTCTTACTTATTGCTATAAATTTCCAAAAAAACGCTGAAACGCTGACGTCAGGTGCGATACTAGTATTTGCAAAAATAAAGCTGTAAGACCAAAAACTGAAGTTTGTAGCGATCACTTTCAAACTTCTGAGTTCTATTTTCGCAGCTTTAAATGTTTTTCAAAAAATATTAAATGCTGAAGTTTTTGGACCACAAAAATCAAGGTTAATTTGATTGTGCATTAAGTAGTTTAAATTTAGTTAAATTAAGTTATTTATTAATTCATTCATCATCTCCCAGAACAAAACAGTACGTAAATAATTTCACAGAATTTAGAAATTTGTCTTTGTACAAATGCAAATTGTTCTTAATTAAAAGAAAATTTCATTTTGTTCCTAGTTTTTCAAAAATTTATATAATATATTAGTGGTTTGGTGAAACCTTTCCAAGCATTCCTCAAACGTATTTGTACTATTAGCTTGAAAGAAAAAGAATTGTTTGTAACGAAATTTAAGTATATATGAATAATATATTGATATTTGTGTTTTGAATCCACCTACCGCAGTATACATATACCCCCGAACACATACTACCGAACGGAAAATAGGAAATTCCATGTAAATTTTTAGGTGGACAGATATTGGCTCTCCTGTATCAAAGTTGTAAAATAACTTTTTAAAGGGGCGGTATGGTCAACTCATGTGTCGAGTTTGAATAAATTTTAATAAGTCATTCTTCAGTTATTAAATTAAATATGGTGGCAAAATTGAAAAATTTCTATGGTTGGGGTAATAAATCAAACACCAGTAAAATTTATTTTGACAACGACGACACGAAAATTAGTGACAGTAACAATATTTTTATTTGTGATTCTTAAACGAGTAAACGCACTTAAATTAAAGCTAAATATGTGTAATTCAATTGAAGTCACTTTATTTTCCTGCTAAAACTGTACAAATAATGATAGGGATTTTTAAAAAACATTTGTTTCACTGACGAAGCAGATGTTCAAAATCCAAGCCAAAGACAATGAATATCGTTTTGTTCATAATCGAAGCCAATATGCTTAAAAAATAAATCTTATATATTATATTATATATCATATTATTGATTCATTTTTTATGGACTATAACCTCACGGCACAAACCTATTTGGACTTATTAAAAAATCAAATTGTTTTCGAAGATCAGGAGATCGGGTACTAGATGCATTGTTGTCCGGCCGACAATTCTCCCATAGTTAACGGGAATATTATTGGCCCAAGTTGCCGAATCCTTTGACCACCCAGGTCACTTGACCCCTCGCCGAAGGACTTTCTGTTGGGTCACTTGAAAAATGTTAAATTTGAAAACCGTAACCAGTTACAAAAAGCTATTTCCTTGGAATGTGACAGGATTTTACAACATCAAATAAGCAATGTTTGAAATGGATTTTACTATGGCTTAGGATATTGTTTAACAGTTAATGGAGGGTCTTTGAATATTCGCTTAAAAAATAATGTTGCGTATACCCGCGATCTACCCCTTTGACGTATACTTCGGTTCGATTATGGTTATTAAGGATACAAAACGACCCTTTCCGTTGGCAACACTTTATTTACTAATTATGACGCATTGATCTCCTTGACTATACGGCCAAACCGCGCTGTTGCCAGCTTATAAACTAATCCTAACATTCACGAAAATATAAGGCAGTGTTCGCGACATCCTACCACCCGAGACCCGTCCTAAACGTTACAATAGGGTCTCGAACTAAAACATAAAGCCTTAACCTAACAAAAATCGTTTAGGGATTTGTGTCACTCGTCCGCTTGCGTAGTGGCACTAGTAGTTATTAACTATAATATAGGCTTCCCCCACTCCTCTCCCTTTTGTGGGCGTGTCCTCCTTACCCACGACTCTCTAGCTCCTCCGCCTTTACCCATAATCCCTTGAAACTGGCTCCCATTGGATAAGCAAGCACCAATGGGGTTTAATCAATCTCCCCAGCTCTAGTTTGCGATGGCGGCGAAGCCAATCAGAGCCCAGATATTTTCCCACCCCTAAGAAAAGCAATGGCGTCAATGAGAGTTGATCATATTGTTCGCGTGACCATCTGCACCATCTAGCGGTTCGAATGTAAACTAGTATCCCCTCTTGGAATAAGATTTTCTTTAATAAGGTAACCCCACCTAGTGAATATTGACCAAAACATTTATTTTAAAAACATATAATTCTGCGAATGTGTACCCTCGCGGGTACAAACTGTACTTTTATTGCGCACAAAGGACAGGGGAAATAAAGACGAAAAGTATTGGATTTCTTTTCTCGGAACTGGAAGCTGGCAGGCACCACCAATAATATCTGCAAAACAAAAGTTGGTTAAAATTTTCATTAATAAAGTAGGATATTAGAAACCATATACCTTTTTAATTTACTAAGCCATCTACCGTGCGTTAACTTCATACATATTTCCGCATGCTTCTGTTTTAAGGTATCGTGAGATATTTGACTATTTATCTGGGAAAAGTTCATATGTCGAAAATATTATGTGTATGTGGCCGTGGTAGGCTTTCTTTGCAATTATAATTTTATTTTTATTATTTAATATTTAC